ATCGGGGCCACGCCCACAGAGCGCTGACCACGCCCACAGAGCGCTGACCACGCCCACAGAGCGCTGGCCACGCCCACAGCGCCGCGACCGGGGTTTGGTCACGCCCATGACCGCGCCCACTTACCGCAAAAGACCACGCCCACAAACAGCAGGCCACGCCCCCACCGCCTCGGCCAGGGGGATTTGGGGGGGAATTTTGGGGATTTTGGGTGATTTGGGGAAAATTTTGGGGTTTTTGGGTGGCTTGGGGGGAAATTTTGGGGTTTTTGGGTGGTTTGGGGGGGAATTTTGGGGGTTTTGGGTGATTTGGGGGGAATTTTGGGGGTTTTGGGTGATTTCAGGGGGATTTTTGGGGTTTTCTGTGATTTGGGGGGGAATTTTGGGGGGTTTTGGGTGATTTGGGGGCGGCTTAGTGGCGATTTTGGGAGACCGAAGGATTTGGGAGGGCTCGGGGGAATTTTTTTGGGTTTGGCGGAGTTTTGGGGGCTGAAATGTGGGTTTGGTGGGGGTCTGGGCAGTTTTGGGGGTGTTGAGGGGGATTTAGGAGGGGTTTGGGGGCGTTTGGGGTGGATTTGGGAAGCTGGGAGAGGTTTTGGGGGGATTTGGGAAGGATCGGAGGGGTCTGAGAGGGAATTGGGGTGGATTTGGGGAGGTTTTGGGTGGATTTGGGGAGGTTTGGAGCAGGTTCGGGGAGGATTTGGAGGATTTGGGGATGTTTTGGGTGGATTTGAGGATGTTTTGGTGTGGATTTGAGGATGTTTTTGGAGGATTTGAGGATGTTTGGGGCGGTTTTGGGGAGTTTCGGGCGCTGTGGGCGGGGCTTGAGCTCAGGCCACGCCCCCTCCCTGTCCAATAACCAAAACAACGCAGTGCCTCACGTGGCCACGCCCACCGCCCCGATCAGCCAATCACCGCTCTCATGCACCACACAAGCCCCGCCCCCTCACCAGGCCCCGCCCCTCCGCAGCCGTTACCCCTTGGCGGGCGAACCCCCACCCACCCTGACCCCGCCCCGCGCTGCCATTGGCTCTCCCTGCGCCGGCGCCGCGCTCCCATTGGCTGAGACTCGCGGGGGTGGGACCTCCCCTCACACCTCGCCTCGCTATTGGCCGAGACGCGGGGACCTAAGGGCGCGCGGCGGTTTGAAGGCGCGCGGGACAAGATGGCGGCGGCGCCTCAGGCCGGTGCCGCTGCCCTCCCGGGGCCGCGCTCGCGCCTCCCGCGGCTGCCGGTGGCCCGGGCCCAGGAGAAGCGGCCCCCGTCGTGCGTCAGCACCGAGGGGCCGGCGGCGGGACCTCCCCAGCAGGTGCGGAGCTTTCCCCGGGCGGGTTTTCCCTGGCTGCCCCCCGCGCCGGGGCCGCCTGACGCCGTTTGTCCCCTCACAGAAACGATCCCGGACCGGCCTCGCGCCCGGAGGCGCCAAGGCCGCGCCCAAGGCCCCGCTCAGGGCCCCGCTCAGGACTCTGGGCCCGGCGGCCGCGGCGGGGAAGAACGGTACGGGAGAGGTTTGGGGAGGTTAAAGGTGATTTGGGGGTGCTGGAGGGGTTCTGGGCCAGCTTCCCTGGAGTGTTTGGGTGGTTTGGGGGAGTTTTGGGGGGATTTGGGGAGGTTAAAGGTGATTTTGGGGTGCTGGAGGGGTTCTGGAGGAGCTTCCCTGGAGTGTTTGGGTGTTTTGGGTGAGTTTTGGGGGGATTTGGGGAGGTTAAAGGTGATTTTGGGGTGCTGGAGGGGTTCTGGGGCAGCCTCCCTGGAGTGTTTGGGTGTTTTGGAGGAGTTTTGGGGGGATTTGGGGAGGATAAAGGCGATTTTGGGGTGCTGGGGGAGCTTCCCCGGAAGGGTTGGGTGGTTTGGAGGGGTTTTGGGGAGGTTGGAGGTGTTTTTGGGGGTCTCGAGCAGCTTCCCAGGAAGGTTTCAGTGGTTGGGGGGGATTTTGGGGGGCTTTGGGGAGGTTTAAGGTGTTTTTGGGGGTCTCGAGCAGCTTCCCAGGAAGGTTTCAGTGGTTGGGGGGGATTTTGGGGGGCTTTGGGGAGGTTTAAGGTGTTTTTGGGGGTCTCGAGCAGCTTCCCAGGAAGGTTTCAGTGGTTGGGGGGGATTTTGGGGGGCTTTGGGGAGGTTTAAGGTGTTTTTGGGGTTCTCGAGCAGCTTCCCAGGAAGGTTTCAGTGGTTTGGGGGGATTTTGGGGGGATTTGGGGAGGTTAAAGGCGATTTTGGGGTTCTGGGGGAGCTTCCCAGGAAGGTTTGGGTGGTTTGGAGGTGTTTTGGGGAGGTTAGAGGTGTTTTTGGGGTGCTGGAGGGGTTCTGGGGCAGCTTCCCGGGAGTGTTTGGGTGGTTTGGAGGAGTTTTGGGGGGTTTGGGGCAGTTTAAGGTGTTTTTGGGGTGCTGGAGGGGTTCTGGGGGAGCTTGTTTGGAGGGGTTTTGGTGGAGTTTTGGGGAGGCTTAAGGTGTTTTTGGGGTTCTCGAGCAGCTTCCCAGGAAGGTTTCAGTGGTTTGGGGGGATTTTGGGGGGATTTGGGGAGGTTTAAGGTGTTTTTGGGGTTCTGGGGGAGCTTCCCAGGAAGGTTTGGGTGGTTTGGAGGTGTTTTGGGGAGGTTAGAGGTGTTTTTGGGGTGCTGGAGGGGTTCTGGGGCAGCTTCCCGGGAGTGTTTGGGTGGTTTGGAGGAGTTTTGGGGGGTTTGGGGCAGTTTAAGGTGTTTTTGGGGTGCTGGAGGGGTTCTGGGGGAGCTTCCCGGGAAGGTTTGGAGGAGTTTTGAGGGGATTTGGGGAGGTTAAAGGTGTTTTTGGGGTTCTGGGGGAGCTTCCCGGGAAGGTTTGGGTGGTTTGGGGGATTTTTGGGAGTTTTAAGGGGTTCAGTGAGGTTTTGGGGGTTCTTGGGGGTGTTCTGGGCGCATAAAGAGCATTTTGAGGAGGAGAATGAGGGATTTGGGGTGTTAATGGGGGGGCTTGGGGTGGTCCCAGGGGATTTGGGGATGTCTGGGGGGGTTCTTGGGGGTATTTGGGGCAGTGAAAGGTGATTTGTGGGATTTAAAGGGGGTTTAGGGAAGTTAAAGACTTTTTTGGGGGATTTTAGGGGGATTTGGGGCAGTTAAAGAGGATTTTTTTGGGGG